CTGGAGGGGAGAGAGGACGAAGGCCCTGAGGGTCCGCATGCCGCCTGGGACCCACTGGAGCAGGAGTAGGCCACCCACCAGGGCCTGCTATTGGCAGGTGGCCCAGCAAGTGCATCTTTGCCTGAGCAAGTTTCTTAGCTGTTTTGAGCTTCAAGTATCCCCTCTTCAATAAAACATGCTCCTACGCTTCCATGGCCCCCCTGACTCCCCTGGGAAGCTCCTATAAGGTAGACAATACACTCCCCCCAGGCAGACAGAGCCCCCACCCTCTCCTGGGGCTCCCCCCAGGCAGACAGAGCCCCCACCCTCTCCTGGGGCTCCCCCCAGGCAGACAGAGCCCCCCTCTCCTGGGGCTCCCTCCAGGCAGACAGAGCCCCCACCCTCTCCTGGCCCTTGGGCAGCACTGGCCAGCAGGCAGCCCTGGGCTCAGGGACCAGGCCTGGGCTTCTTGCCCTAACTTAGCACTTGCTCACTGTGTGACCTGTCCCTGTGGCTCCCTTGGCCTCAGTTTCTTCATCTGAGAGATGAGAGCAGCAACAGCGGCCAGCTCCCAGGGCCGTGGCGAGGATTAGATGAGGCACATGAGACACTTGGGCCCAAGGGTGCACACAGCAAACCCTCCTAACCGTTACATCCAGCTCTCAACAGCCTTCGTCTGCATTGTGGGGGTGGGGCCCCGGTCCCTCGTGATCACAAGGCCCAGAAAACAGGTCTTGCAAACACTGAGAACTCCTCAGAGCACAGTGGCTGCATCAGACAGTGTTATTATAGCTTTAAAAGAACAGGCTTCAAGCTGCCACCCCAGCAGGCAATCGTGGGGCCCAGAACAGAACAGGAAGACTAAGGGCCCCTCCTCCCCACCCCCTCTCCTGTCACTGCTACCTGCCTGGGGCAGGGGTGGAGGGAGAGAGTCCAGAATGTGTGAATGAGACAAAAGGTCATAATTCTGCTCTGTCTTTAAGGTCTTTAAGGCAGGCCAGCAGAGTGTGCAGGTCTCCTGCCCAATGGAATAGACCTATAGGCATTTGCTCTTTAAAGCTCAGAAGTAACATTTATTAAATCCTTGTTATGTTCCAGGTAATTGGCTGAACATTTTACGTGGTCCATCTCCTGTCAGCACTCACAGCAATGCGACAAGGCACCGTAAGTCCACAGCACAGAGAGCCTGAGGCTGCAGGCAGTGTCTTAGAGGGAAGGCCTGGCTTTCTGACCAGGCAGAGGCCCCCACGCTCCTGTTTCCATCCTGGCTGAAGGGACCGGAAATGCAGGAATGTCATGAGACATTCAGAGACCCTCCCTGCTCAGGTAACTCACCCTCTGGACTCTTGAGGATCAAAAGGTTAGCGAGAGTCGGAGCTGGGAAGAGGGTCACATGCCCTCCTCTTTTTGTTAGAGGTGGCAGCCTTGCCTGGCGACCAGGGAGCCAGCTGGGCTGAGTCCCATGTTCTCCTCACCATCCAGCCCTCTTCCCATAGGCCAGGCTGCCTCTGAGGACAGAACACACAGAAGGCAGCAGGCACAGAGCCTAGGCCGGCCCAGGGCGTCTTCTCCGGATGTGAACAGGGCAAAAGTAGCAGATGGAGCCCAAGGGCCTGGCATGAGGGAGACGGGGGCTCCAGGAGGTGGGCGACCTCTGCCCTCATGGGGCCTGAGCAGTATTCCAGGGGCTGGAGGCTGGGCGTGGGGTGGGGAGGGGAAGCCTGGAACGGCCACCTGAGCAGCCATGGAATGGGGTTGCCTTTCCTTCCTCCCCACAGGACACGGACTGTGAAGAGCCACTGCGGTCTGTGCCCCTCGAAGCCCCTCTCCACCGGCCTCCAGGGCAATGAGGGTGGTGGGCACTTGCTGCCAGTCCCTGATGCAGGTCTGGATTCAAGCTCAAGGTCAGCCCTCACTGGCTCTGTGACCTTGAGAAGTCACCTAACCTCTTCGAGGCTCCATCTTCATCTGTAAAATGGGTATAACAGGCCAGAGCTCAAGGAGGTCCTTTAAGAAAGCTCGCTGGGAACTGGAATATGTAGTATCCATGTCACTTCTGTATTTACTCATCCACACAAGAGCTCAAAAGGCGTGGCTCAGTGAGGCAGAACGCGAGAGGGGAGAGAGTAGAAGTCTTGAACCAAATTCACCCTGCGCACCCCACGTGCCAGGCACTGGCCCACAAAACCCAGAAGAGAAGATGGAGCAGGTACAGACCCTGCCCTCCAGGAGCTTAGGTCCCAGGAACTAAGTCTATAGGAAAGTTCAGCTCATGTCCCTATTCTTTCATGGCCCGAATGCCGGGTTTTCTAGGGGCCCCGCATTGTGTCCTGTAAGTACATGGAGAGTATTCACCACATCTTCCTTGTTGCTGATGGAAAAGCACAACCTCACCTGCACAAAGGCCTGGAGCCCGCCTTTCCAAGGAGGCCACAGAGGACCTGGGTCTTGGCATCTCCTTGACTCAGGAAAGACCTGCAGGTGCGGGCGGGAGGGAGCGCACAGCTGCAGGGGGAGGGGGAGGCGTCGCGGGGGACCTGGATGTAGCAGGAGAATCTTTGGAGCGTGGCTGGGAAAGAGGCCAAATGCCCTGGGATCATTCAGTCTTGGCAATGAAATTCAATGGAACGAGACAGGAAAGCCTGCAGTGACAGCAGGGTGACACTCCTCCCAGAGGCCACATACGCTGGGGTCTGAGCTCCTGGGGAAAAGAGCCTCCCAGAGACCACATACACTGAGGACCCCGCTCCAGGCACCACCCGGCATGCCCTCCACTGACTGCACTTTAAACAAAGAAGCAGCATCAACCCCATCTCATCCAGCTGAGGCTCAGGGGAGGGCGGGCAGGGGAGGGCAGTGAGCCTGGGAGGGCCACATCCCACCCAGGGTCTCCCAGAGCTCACTCTTTTCTCCAGCCTGGACCCCAGCTGAGCAGCAAAGAGAGCACAAAGTCTGGGGGTGAAGCCAAGCTCTCCTGCAGCTGCAGGCAATGTGGGCACTTCCTCTGCCCTCTGGCCTCAGGGTGCTCATCTGGAAATAGGGAGAGTAACTGTCTCACAGGGTTAGTGAGAGGAAGCAGAACAGTGTCTGTCACCTGGAAGGTGCTTCGCAAATCCAGTTTCCACTCCTCTCCCTCCCACCTTCATAGCTCAGCCACCCGTCACACCGTCTTCCACCTCTTACAAAACTTATCATCCCGCCCACAAAACACAGCCCTTAGTTATGTCAACTGATGACCAATGATGCCAATTCAACACCAACAGGAATCACCAATTTGGGGTGTGGGGAAGACGAAAACCTTATTTAGTGCAAATAGCTCAGCAGTAATAGAGTGTTATCGCAGGGCCGGGAGGCCACCCCGTGAGCTTCCAGGGCCTAGGCCTTTCTCAGCAGGCAGCTCTGCCCGCTCCACCCGCTCCACGCCAGGCCACGCCAGTCTGTCTGCTCCACCCGCTCCACCCGTTCCACACCAGTCTGCCTGCTCCACCCACTCCATGCCAGGCCACGCCAGTCTGCCTGCTCCATCCGCTCCATGCCAGGCCACGCCAGTCTGCCTGGCTTTGCTCTGTGCTGCTAGTGCACTCTGCTCGGCTCCAGTGAGACATCTCTGAGATGTCTCCAGTGCTTCAGTTGCAGCCTGAGAAAGGCAGCCTCCAGCTGCTATGGAAAGTGCACTCCAAGCCAGAGGGGCGCTGGCTACTAGTATATGGACAGAAGTCCCAGCTTCTGGTCCCTGATTGGTCCATCCTCATGCAAATGAGAACACCAGATCCTCACATTTGACTGGTCCAAAGGCACTGTTCTAAATTGATCAGAATAGAGATGCTCTGATTGGTCAGACCTGTGCAGCTCCGATTGAATGGGGAAAGCCTCAGCCATATTGGTCAAACTAGGATTCCAGGAACTGCTTCATGAGAGGGAATCAGCTGGCAGCTCAGTGCAGAACCTTCTCCCAGGGAAGTGCAGTTTGCGTGAGAGGCCCCTGTGCAGAAATGGCTGCTAGGCTCTGCTCTCTTTTAAATTGATCCCTTCTTAGTAGGTATCTTTTTTATTCCTTTCAGGATTCAGTTAAACTATTTTATAGCATCTACTTAGGTATATCTTTCTATATAAAACTCTAATATGCAAATCGACTGAATGGCATAATGACTGGCAGAACGACCGGTCCCTATGATGTGCACTGACCACCAGGGGCCAGATGCTCAATGCAGGAGCTTTCCCCACCCCACAGGCCCCAACCAGTGGTGATCGACTGAATGGCATAATGACTGGCAGAACGACCGGTCCCTATGATGTGCACTGACC